TAGAAACTAAAATAATGAGCCCCAAAACCCCAAAACCCCAAAACCCCATCATTCTGATTAAAGACCAATTAGTTATTTCTCAATAATAAATCAAAAAGCAAATATAATTTCCTGATCAATGTTAAAATCCATAATTAATATGATCTGGGATGGGATTATTATTATAAGAAAGTCCTCTTTGCCTTAAACCAATCTTCCCATAATCTAAATGTTGACTTAGATTCAAAGATCCTTCTAAATTCAAATTGCTAAACTCGTAAACATTTTGAAGAGATTTTCTCATATTTGGCTACAAAGTTCCAAATAAATTTTAATTTCTATCAGTTCTTTATGGTGTTTTGAAATCATAGTTTTCAATTCTCTAAATTCCAGAGTTGTAAGGTAAGTTTAAAAATTAACTTGGATCAATACTGTTTAGGGCATTAACAAAAGCTTGATTTGTTGGTCGAGCACCAAAAGCATGAGGTGTTTAAAATAACTTCAGGGCACAATAGCCAAGTTCATCCTTAAAGTGATAAATATTCCTTTATTCTATTTTATTAGCCAGTGATTCCTCTCGAAATGATCTTGAGCTTTGTGAACTATCTGGTGGGACCTGCTTATTTAGCTTTTCTATCTACAAACCACCTTGGCCTATTTTATCTGGCGACATTTTTTATCTTAACAGTCTCAAATTATCATTATGAGTGTGCTCTGAGTCACTTTTATCTATATGTGCTTATTCTCTCGTGGCATCAAAACTCCCTCTTCTTTAAGTATCCTGTGGATTCAAAATATTATTTGAAGATCTCCTATTAATAGGAGTTGAAATCTAATTGTCCTCAGCCCTCTCCGTTTTCTAAAAAATTTAAAAGGAATAATTACAACTAGAAAGAAAGTCCTGTGATTGCCGTATTCCTCACCACAGGCTTTACAGTTGAATCTACTAGTAAACTTATTTTTACAAGTACACTTAGCGATCAAGCATTTTCTTGTTACAGGATCATGCTCTATATATGAATGCTTGCATGTACAAGGTAGATCTTTTGTCCCCTCTATATTGCATTTTAATAAACCTTTATTTAATCTTACAAACAGGAATGTAGGAGTATTAAGGGCACAGACAGCTGCGCTCCTTACAGTGATAATTTTTTTAAATTGTATTTTCAAGAGCATGATCCTTATATTTATGCCCGCAAAAGCATAATGAAAATGGTGTCACTATTTTGCATTCATTATCTTTCTAGTTTCTCCAAGTAGTTTACATTTTATTAAAGTTAGATTCATATTATGGATTTTAATGCTGTTATTGTTAATAATTTGTGGGGTCTCCTCCCATTATTCTCCCTCCGTTATCTACTAATCTTTAAGGATAAAGTTTTTAAATTACGTATTGTAGTCATTAGTATGCTTAGACTTTAAAAGTTGCAACTTATTCTCCATTAGTTTGATGTGCTTATTTTTTAATCTTATTAATTTTTCTAAAATTTTGCTATTTTATGTAAACAGATTTTAAACCAATGGGGTTTTGGGGTTTTGGGGTTTTGGGG